ACAAACTATTAAAGTATTAAAATAACTTTAATAAATAAAATTAATTAAAAATATTTCAATACTTTTACTGCCCAAGCAGCTTGTCATCTAAATTCTGAAATAAAAAGGTTTCTAAAGGAAATGACTTTAGAAAAAAAATGATATCAACCAAAAAAATATATTAAAAAATATTATTTAATTTAAATTATTGTAAATTATATAATTTTAACAATAAAATAAAAATGAGTTTCTAATAACCAAATTTTTTTATATAATAATTTTTATTTTACAATGTGATACATTAAAAACCATAAAAAGCTAGAAAGAAAATTTTCAAATCCAAATAAATAGGTTTTCCTAAATACCGTACTTCTCTTCTTTCCCGCCCTTCCTCTAGTTTTCTCAACTCTCAAGATGTCTGAAAATCCAAACCAATTTCAAGCTTTCTTCCAAACTCTTGAAAAAGTATCAAACGATGTACAAACCCATCTCTCCAATTTCATGGGTCATATTCGCAATCCATCACCCGTCAACGGGAAGCCTTTCTTCTCTCTTTCATTCTCGCCCTCGTCCAAAGTAAACCCATCACCGAACTCTGACGCAGCCGCTCATATTCTGTACAAAGTACCCATTTGCTTTAATTCCTGTTAATACATGCTTAATTGCTTGATATTACGATTGAAGCTAACAGCTTTTTGGGTGCTTTCTCTTTTGGTTGGCTTGCTCATTAACTGTTTGACAAAAGTTCTGAATGAAAAGTCTGTTTTGGGTTTTACTTACGAGTAAGGTCTCCTGTTTATTATATATTTGCTTATATGTTTGAGTGGACATAATATGTGCTTAAAGAATAAGGTGTATAAAGGTTTAATTGTATTTCATTAATTTCTCTGGCATAACCAACGAGTAAAATGGAGACTAACCTATCTTGTATGATTCATTCTGATTATTCTGTTTCATTTTTTAGTTGCCTGAAATTAGCCAGTGGAGGTCTTTGAAGACTGTTTTCTGTTTCTATGAACTATTGGCATGGCAAAATTGTTGCTCTCTGATTATAAAGGGTAGAAACTTTGATTGATGTTGATGATGCAGAGGAAAAGAAGAAAAGATAATGAAAACTAATCACTACAATTTTGTTTATAGTTCGTTCTTTATTCTCAGGTGTAAAGCTCCTTGAACAGTTAGAATACCAATTTCTTCTTTTTCTTCTTCTTTTCTTATTCCTTCTACTTCTTTTTCTACCATGTAAACCATAGTAAAAATTAGGTGAACAAGAGTGCAGGTTTCTTGTTTAAGGTGATTACCAGATTTACAATGTTAAAAGAGGGTAATCTATAATATTCATGGCTACTGTTGTTCTACAAGGTTTATAGTATCAAGTTTTTCCCTTTTTTCCTCTTCTTCTTCAGTTGTGATTGAATAGATATTTTATTGGAAGCAATTCTATGGTCATACACTTATGGTACGGGTTGAATAAGAAATTAGAATGTTGACTTAGTGCTATTATTCAGGAAAAGTCTGCTGCACCTGTGACTAAAGAAGAACTTGGAAGAGCCACTTGGACTTTCCTTCACACTCTTGCTGCTCAGGTCTTCTCAGAACTCTTGCTTGTTGATTGTACTTCTGCTTTGGCTTCCCATTTTTGTTTTTAGCATGTGCCATTTTATTATGCTAATTTACTACTTGCATAAACTTAGATTGTCATGAACTGACATGATTATGGATAAAAGGAAAGGAAACATTTTGT